TCGAAACTTTTAATAAAGAGGCAATAAAACGGTTTTTTTCATATAATGTTTAACTAATTTTATTGTTCGATACATTAATAGCAAGAGTAGTGCAAATTTCATGAAATATTTTATTTGAATAGATATTTCCAGCAGCTTTCTTAGGTATATTTTTAGAGATTTATCGAGAATTTTCTATAAAATTTCGCTTTTTGTTATATCATCGGATGGGGAAGTGGTTAGGTCAAAGACAAGCAACTATTTAACGGTGAAAGTAAGAATGATATTCAGATCAACGTAACAGCTGAGAGTCTGTGATAAATCCTCTAAACTATATTTATCACAATAAATCCTGATAGTCTCTCCTTATCATATACAAAATGTCTTTTGTCATAATTTTTTTGAAAATGTCAGGCTTAGATTTAAAAAATCATTCTTTTTTATCGGTTTTCTAAAGATAACCTACGATAAGAAGTACTCCTTATGTAGAACACTATTTGCTCTAATGAGTCATCTATTGTAAAGAAAATGTCATAGTACAACAAATGCATTAGAGTTGGTAAAAAGAAGTGATTCAATAATTTTGAAAGAATAAAAAACGGCATTCTGTGATTGTATTGTCAATAAAAACTAAATAGATCAATTGATTGACATGAAACTTTTTTACTAATATATCAAAGACTATAGATTACAATCTGAAGAAAATAAATTCGAATAATCTAACTTTTAAGATATACACAAAATATAATAAAATTAACTATTATTTAGATAATATTCACAGTCACTTTATGTTGACATATATACGGAAAGACAAAATTCTTTATTCTCGTTCTTCTTCTCTTTCGTATGATCAACCCAAGACAGTCGTAATGTTATCAATACAGTCTTCATCTGATAAAAACACTTTTGTACCATCATTGACAACGATGAATATATATTTTTTTTCTTAATGTTCTTGAATGTTGTTCTATGTATGTACTTCCTGATTTATTTCATATTTACATTTTTTCTAAAAATGTAAAGAAATTTGACCTCTGTATTGCATGTAGTTACTAATCAATATGAGTATGATTCTATTAATATAAAAAAGAATGTGCCTGCAGGCATACGATGTATGCACAAAAAGGACGAATCGAACGAAAAAGAAAACACTACAGCGTCATTTCTAAGTCAATAGGAAGTGAAAACTTAAGAAAAAAAAGATGAAAAAATGACACTGATAAATTTTCGAGTATTATAAATCATCTTGAACATCAAAAACATGACTTTTTTTTTTGCTAAGTTACTAAAATGTTACTAATAACAAAACAGTCATTGTACTAAAAAAAGAAATTTTTTATAAAGAAAATTTGTAAAAATTTGATTGTTTGAAATTTCCAACGGGGAACTGACAAATATTAGCCTTGAGATTTCTAAGAAAAAAAAATGAATAAAACTTTCATAATATTTATTCTATGAGCCAGGACAAGGTGCATCTACATTTCTTTTTCTTTTTCTTTTTAAGCGTTCTCCAAGTAACAGAAAAAAAAATAATTATTTTTTCTTTTCTGAATGAAAGTCGACCGTCTTCAACCTTATTTATTTGCTCATTGCAGCTTTTTGGAGACATAAACGAAAAAATAGTCGAGAAAGTAAAAACAAGCCTGATATCAAACATTATATTTTTTTCACATAGATACGATATGTCAAAACGAAAACAATCAAACACTTATTTGCCAACGCGTGTAAGTAAAACTGATGATAATTTAATTTATTTATTTTCTATTTCATCAAATATTATCCAGGCTCCAACATTGATTGACGATTTATGGACAAGTCATAATTTTTTAGAACCAAATGAATATTCATCAGCTACAATTGGTATATACAGTTGTTTAGTACGCTCTTATGAAAATGAACATTTTGGAAAATTTTTTTGTCAGAGAGTTAACAAGGATGCTCAAACAAAGTAATAGCAACATATATTTTTCAAAAGAACAATGGTATTTTTTTTTCTATTCATTAAATTTTTTCACTAGGGATTTTATAGCTCAGCTTGATGATGATGAAAAAACTCTAACTAACAAAACTCAAGTAGATATTGAACGATGTATAATGATTGCTCGACTACGTGAATATTTAGAAAAGGTTAATTTATTTAATCAATGTTCATATGTTATATTTATATATATTTATAGAATAATGATGTATTTCAAAATATTTTAAATCAAATTAAAAAACATCTTCATGAAGGTATGTGTGAAAATTCATCAATGCCTGTTCCACAATCAGTATGAAATTCATATTAATAAAATATAATTTATTCAATAAATAAAATTCTTCAGGAAAATGACTTTATATGTCAATCTAATCAAATAAATAAAAGTGCTCATGTACTCGATAAAATCTATCGTATGAGACGTTTTCAATACTATAATGATGATAATATTCGACAATCAATAAATATTATTAATCTACAAAATTGGTATATCATAAGAAAGAATTTAATTTTTTTATATTTATTATTTAATGATTTCATATAGGATAAGATCTCATTTCCAAACATTGACTAATATTAATCCACAAATATCTATTAGTTCACAAATAAACAAGTATTTAGAAACTTTACTTAATAAGTATGTAGACATTCATCAAATAACTATCAAGTTATCTTTTTTATTCTTATTCTAGTTCATTTTTTATTATTCAACATCCAACACCATCAATTGTAACTCATAGTCCATTAAAAAGACAACTTGTTACTGCAAAAATTTATTGTCGACTTGTATCTTTACTTGACAAAGAAAATTCTGCAATAACCATTGATGATATAAGTATAAATATTAAAAATATTAATTTAAATAATACTAAAGAGACATTTATTGATTTTTGCTTTTAGCACCTTATGTTTGTCGTATAACAACATCAAATCCTATTGAAGAACCTCCAACAATTTTTGAACAATTACCAATGACTTGGAAGCCTTATGCAATTGTTACAGCTTCACAAAATCGAAAAAATTTTTATTTTGCCGATTTATCAGAAATTATTCTTCGACAAACACCGATCGTATCAGAAAATCAAAATTCAATAAAAGGAGGACAAACACATTATTCACCACATGTCTATTATATTCAATTTCAAATTAATGTTACGGTATGAATATATCGTTTACTTTTCTTTCAAAAAATATTTTAGAGAATTTAAAATATTGTTTTTATTTTATTTTACTTTTTTTCTATAGGTACAATTCACTAATGGATTAACACCTTATCAACATTGTGTTATTGTAAAATCAGCTCCATTCGGACTTGTAACAAATACATCACAAACAGCAGATCTTTTTGCTAAAGTATTTATACAAGATTTTAAAAGTTGGAAATCACTATCAACACAAATACAACCAATAGTAGCATCATTAGATAATAGTACTCCTTTACCTTCAACAACAGAATTAAAAATGGATGATATAGTAAATAGTATTCAAAGATATTTTATACATAAGACTGGTATTTATCCAAAAGATTGGGTTATGCCATATATTGATAAAATATTAAGAGCTACTTGTCGTAAGTATTAAAATTTATTTATTATATGATATAAAACAGATATTTCAATAGTATATCGTTATATTTAGAAAATCAAAATACTTTCGTAGAAACTAGTGCTCATGTAAATATTATATTATTTTTTTTTTCTTATTCTAATGATTAATAATTAATTTTTATTTTTTTTTACATAGGATCTTCTAGTTAAAATTCTTGCTCAAATTGATTATATGGCTGAACATCCAGTTTTAAGTCTATTTCATGATGATGGGTAAATTTAATTAATTTTAATTCTTTATATTTTATTTATATACATTTATTTAACAGTTTATTCTTAGGTATATGTGATAGTGATGAAGTAAATCAAATTTTACTTCAAGAACGTGAACATTATAAAACTTCAGTTTGTGCAATTCGATTTGGTGCATTGAGTCGCTTAATGAATATCAAAGATATTGGTATACGTGTTGATCTGTTGGAAGGTATGTATTCTATTTGATAGTTTATAAATGATAATGTAATTTATTATAGATTCATCTACTAATGTGCAACATTATACATTTGATTCAACTAAATTACCATTTGCATTGGGTGTATTTATAATTAAAATACTATTAAATGAAGCTACACAATATAGCACTATCTTAACTATTCTTAATAGAAATACTCAAAATGTCGTAGCAATTACTAGTAAACTTCTCGAACTTTATGATAGTAAGATAAAAAAAAAACAATTTGTTATAACTTATTCTAATTAATATAATATATATATATAGGTGAAAAATTACGAGAATTTTGTCCACATAAAGAACGATATCCTTCAATATGGCATTGTACTCACAGGTAAAAAATTTTAGTGTTTATCTTAACGAGATTAATATATGATACAAGATACATTCATATTTATCCATAAATTATTGTCCTACTCACGTTGATTATAGAATCCTTTTGAATTGAATTGACTAACATATTCTTTCCATTTGTTACGGTCTGTCGAGAACATAGAAGAGTGAATTGCAATTTCTTTCAATATACTTAAATGCTTGTATTCAATACTTTGAAGTCGTTACGACTCAAAACACATAGGCAGTCATATGACATGAACTGTGATGTATGAGTGCAAAATTTTAGCTATTCACTTTAACATTCATTTCTAATCGTGTTTTATAAAAACAACAATTATTTACTATGTAAAACTTTTTATATTTATTGAATAGTCAAGAAAACAATAAACAAAACGATCCAGATTCACCAGTAGCACCTGGTTATTCACCAGTATGATATTTAGATTAAAGAAGTATATAAGTATATATATTTTATTCTTTTTTTTTAATTCTAGAATCCCACGACCATCACTACTACAAGTGCCAATGGAGATAATCGTATGCTATCACTTATAATCCTTCTATTTCAAAATATACTTTTATTTCAGTCCCTTATGATTCGTTCTATTGTGGTACATCTACACCTGAACAAACATCATATTCTGAATACCAATCAACTTCTTTTCTGACGCCATATTACCCTCAATCTCAAATGCCTTCTACTTCTGTGCAGTTACCCTATGAATCTTATTCGAATGTACCGCAATATGACGCAACTTCTCAAATTAATCGTAACACTTTTTTCTCTATTTCATAAGCTATTTAAAAAAAAATCATTGATATGTTCTTTTTTTAGAAACATCTACTTATCAATCTCCTATAGTTATTGTTGTAACGAATCCTATAATGTCAGACCAAGATATTTTACAATTGATTTCGAATAGATTACCACAATATGGTCAATTACTTCAATCATCTTTGATTCATCGTATCAATGCAGATCAAACATTTAATGCACCAACACCAATATCGCAAACAATATCATCCAATTTACAGTCATTGTCACCACTTCTTGAAGATTTAATAAGTGATTCGAATAATTTTGATTTCAAGGAATAGATAAATCTGCAAATCATTGTGGTTAATAAATGGCAATTTTTCAATATTACTCTTTTTTATTTATTTCAAATATATCTGTCTGAGTTTTATTTACATCATTTTTTTTTTCTTTTTTTATAGATAAAATTTTCTATTTCTAATGTCTAAATCAAAAGCAAAAGTCAAACGAAGTGCATCAAATTGTAAATATTTTTTTTCATTATAAAAAAACCTTGTTTTTTTTTTTTTTAATTCTTTTTCTTTTTTTTTATGCAAAGCACCACCATTAGAATCATCATCATTACCAGTAAATGATTAAATTTCTTAAAATAAAAATAAAATCAAATAAATAAATTTTAGAATATCATTAATGGTCTTTTTGAATGTTATAATTTTCTATTACCAAATGAATATTCAAATAAAACATTGGGTTTACTTGCATTTCTTTTACGAAAATCAGTTGGAGAAATAAATTTTTCTGATATTATGAATGAAGTTGAAAAACGTTATCAACAAGGGTAAAAACACAAAAGAAAAGAAAAAAATGAAATAGATATTTTTAAAAAAAATTTTCTCATATTTATTTTATTATATTCTATCTTTTAAAGACAATCAATCGATTATATCACATTATTAGATGATAAACGTAAGAATTTACTTGAAATTGAAGCATCAATTGAAAAATGTTTAATGATTAATCGATTAATTTCATATATACAAGAGGTAAGAAAAAAAAAAAAACTTATTTAGCAAATTGATTTTATTAAATATTTTTGTTTTATTATTAAGAATGAATCCCAATTTATTTCACTTATATCTGATATTCGACAAGATATGAGAATGAAATTAATTGATAATCAAATAAATCAAAATATTGAATATCCAAAAGTAAATATTTAATTTATTTTCATATGTATTTATCCTATTAAATATAGGATTTTCGTCAACGAGAACAAGATATTCTTAAACGAATACGTACTCAAGAAATACGACGTCTTTTTTATTTTCATCCTGAAGACACAAAACAATCTCCAAGTTTAATTCATTTAATCAATAGGCATGTATTGTGTATAGTTTAATAATAAGTTCAATAAAAGAAAAGAAAAAAAAAACGATTTTGCTTAATGTTAACTTATAAGATTGTCATAGATCATTGATTTGATTCGATGGAATTTCTATACAATATTGTTGATTTTCTGCAATTGTGGAGATTCTTTCGGAATTTTCGACATTAATAATTGTTTTTGAGTTATACCGGAACGTTGACAATAACTCACAGTAGATAGAATCGTACTCAATTTATTAGATTTTCATAAATATGATATCAAATTACATAACTTAGATCTTTACATACGCACCTCTGTTTTTTTTGTTTTGACCATATTGCATTATCGTTCGAGATATATGGAAGTGAGATGTGGTTAAAGAGGAGACTCACATTCTAACATATCCATGAATAATTAATTTTGCCGTAATTATTTGAGAATTTTATTAATTGTAGAGATTTGACATTTTCGAAATGCTGATTATTTATTCTGAGATAAATTATTATAATATAATTTTATTGTTTAGAACAACGAAACATTTAAATTATTTAATTGATGACAAGATGAGATATGAACCACAGTTTGGAGACACTGGTATAAAAGAATTAGAAAGAATATTTCAAACGTAAAAATATTATTCTATGAAAAATAATTTTGTATGATATCAATATTTAGTTCATTTATGATTACTGCTCACCCACATTCAGGTGTAAATCCAGTACTAATCTATGAACGTAAAGGATCTGGTCAATGTACAGCTAAAGTATCAGTTATTATTATTTCATTATTATATGATTTTATGCAAACACATCCAAAATTAATTGAACTTTATGATATTGGTAAAACGATAATTTTAAATTGATAGATTTTTCATCTTATATATATTTCTATATAGAACCAATTTTATGTTCATCATCATCTCTTTATAAACTTGAATCTTCAACAATATCATGGAAAACTTGTCGATTACAAATAAGTCCAAATGATAAACCTCAATTCATACAATATGCTGAATTATCTTTACTTAATATTCAATGTTCAACTAAAACAAATACACGTATTCATTTAGGTGATGAATTATATTCACTTAAATTTCTTATTAAATTTCGTGTAAGTTTAAACGATATATAAAAATAAATAATTTATGATTTTAATTTTATATAATATAGTTAAATCTCAATGAATATAAATTTTCAAAATGTTATCAAATTCCATTAGAATCATTAACATTTGCTATTAGTTCTCATAATAGTCATATTCCACATATGTTATCAAGAATTATTCTTAATGATATTCGACGATTTTCACAGGTTTCAAAAAAAAAAAACAAAAAAAATTTTTTTTTCTTAAGAAAGTAATTTGTGTTATTTCATTTCATTTTTTCTTGTCTAGCGTTCATCAGTTGATGTTCAACAATTATCAAATTTTATATTACGTTATTTTTGTCATCGAACAGGTGTTTTACCTGATCAAAATCTTAAGATTTATCTTCAAAAAGAATTAAACAGAGCAAAAAGTAATTAAAATCTTATTTTTCTTGTAATTTAAATTGATTTTTATTTTTTAGATGAAAGAAAAAATTTTCAAACAATGGAAGATATTTTTATGGTATGTATTAAAGACAAAAACAAAACGACACGTATTAATAAAAACACATCATTTTTCTATTATAAAATAGAATTCTAAAGTTTCTTTTTGTTTTTCTACACTTCTTGTGCTTCACATGACAAATAACGTCTTTCTTTATTATAAAAAAAAATTTTTTTTTTTGACATCAAAAGAAATTTTCTTACCTTAACTGTAGGCAAAAAAAAAACTAGCATTATCATTTTATTAGACAAACCTTACCTAGAGATAAAATTCTTTTGAATTGAGTCACATAATGGAATTCATGACGCACATGAATTTAAAATCTTTATATATTATAGAAGAGATTTATTTAAAGAATCTAGCACGATCTACAACAAAAGGAGAAAGGCAAAATTCAAGAGAATTCGGAATTCCACTCTTTTCTCTGTATCTCAATCCAAACTCATGCTTTCATCCGAATAGTCAGTGACGTAGTCACGAATTTTTGAGTCATGGGCAATTCATCAACTGAACTATTTTGAGTTACAGGCAGCTAAGGACAACCGTTATGATTTCAAAAATATCTATGGGCAATAACTAACCCCCCTCATAATAAAAGACCCCCCATATTAGAAGACCCCCCATATTAGTAGACCCCTTCGGAGGAGTCACTTCATAGAAATTTCTTTTTTTCACCAGCAAAAATTTACAAAATTTACAAAAGTTCGCTGGACCATAATAGAAGACCCGGGGTCTTTTATTGTAGGGGGGTGGGGGGGGGGGTATTCAAGTACTGCATAGCTCAATAAATCCGTGCGCAATAAATTTTAGAGCTATGGGCAATTGCCCAATGGCCCTACTCCTGGCTACGCCACTGCTAATAGTTGTGATTCATTTGTGTTATTCAGTGGAATCAATACCAATAGATCTGCCTTTTTTTCGGGATCCGGACAGTTGTTCGCCGGACAGTTGTGCGCGGACACTTGCTCGCTATAGGACCCTAGGTAACTGTTATAGCGAGCAAGTATCCGCGCGCAACTGTCCGGCGAGCGACTGTCCTAAACCCTTTTTTTCAGTTATACTAATAATTACATTCAAAGAACTATTGTAATTTCGTCATGAATTATTTTTAAGAATATCATCTTAAAGAACACAATATTTTGAATAAAATAACTGGTTACTGCATTTCCCGACAACCTTCCCTTATCAAGTTATAAACGTTACAATCGCATCATTGTTAGAAAAATGCATTTTTCTTTTTTTGTTATGCTTATAAATTTTTAATGGAAAGTCTTAGGATAAATAATTTTTGCACAGTCTTCTGAAACTTAACTTCAAAAAACAATACCTGTTTGGTTTTTCAGAAATCTTCTTCACACAATTCTTCTATTAAATTTCTGTATGGAATATATTTGATAGAAAATTTTATTACCTATTCAAATCATACATTGGATTTGAATAAAATACTTAATATCATAGGAAAAAAATCAAAAATATGTTGACCTTATATATGTTTTTTGGATCATTATTCGATTGTTTTCAATTTTAAGAAAACTTATATCGAAGAAACAATATCTCAAAAATATTTAAAAAAAAAAAAAATTCGAATGATCTTTTCTAATAATTTCTAATTGAAATATCTTCTGTATTTTTTAACTAGGAATTTCTTGTACCATTTGTTAATCAAGTAGAATTTATAGCTAAACATCCAATTCTTGCTATGTTTTATGCTGATGGGTAAAATTTTTCAACTAATATATATATATTTAATTTAATCTTTTTCTATAATAGTCTTTGTCTTGGTATTTGTGATAGTGAACGAGCAGCTGAAATTATGAGAAAATCAACTGATATCAATTCACCAATAGTTGGTATTCGTTTAAATTCTATTAAAGTTGATTATAAACCTATGACATCAACAACATCTATGTCAAAAGCAATTAAATTAGCTCCATGTGCTGTTCGTGTTGATATTTATAATGGTTTCTTATTTTAAATATTTTTTGTTTTTTTTTTTTCATTAGTAAATTTTTATCTTTTAGATCGTACAAAAAATTTACAATATCGTACATTTGATTCTTTAATATTAGCTATTGATATAAGAAAATTTGTAAGTACTGCTCATACAGAAAATGGTTATCATATACGAGTTTTATCCAATCTTGATGATTCAACAAATGCTAAAAATTATAAATCTTTTACAGATTTTGATAAATATTATAGTAAATATAAGAAAAATTAATTCGAATAATTAATTATAATTATTATTCTATAAATAATACTAGGTGAACGATTAAGTAAAATTTATCAAATTAATGAAGATTATAAACTTATTACTGATATCCTTAATAAGTACGAAAAAAAAAAACATTTAATCGATAATAATAAAGATTTATTTGTTTCATATTTAGTATTGAAGATGAAAATAATGATTATGATAATCATCAAATTATTAAAAGTAGTCCAAATCCAGATTTATCTGAAATGTTTTCAGAAAATTTACGTAAGATAAAACTAACCAATAAACATATTAAAATTAATCTATATTTCATTTTAGATTCAGTCCCTCCACCATCTGCAACAATGTGCAATAATGAATATGTATGACATACATATATATATTTTTTTTGTCCAATAATATCTCTGAATATCTTATAGTGTTCTAATGTAACTACTATTAATGATGACATATCTAAGGTTAACATTCAATCGAATATTAATCAAACATCATTACAAAATATTCTTTCAACATCTTCTCAACAATCATTTCAACATATAAATAATCAAGATATGATTGACTATGTTCTAACTCAACCTGAAATTATTCAAGAACTTCTAAATCGACTTGGTGTTCTTCAACTATCATCCTCTATAATACAACAGGGACAAGGTTATCAAAATCAACATATACAACAAATATTACCAACACAATTGCAAATGCAATCATCATATCAACAACAAATACCACAAATACAATATCAACAACAAATATATAATCAACAATTTTTGCAACAATCAATATCTATTCCTACAATACATAATCAATTGAATAATGATAATCAATATCAAAATTTTTCAAGAAATAATAATCAAATATCATCTCAAGAATGTCCAATAGAAACAAATTATGAAAATCTTTTTACTGAATCAATTACAGATCCTTTACAATTTTCAACAATAGATCAAGTAAATTTAACTAAATGAATTTTATTTTTAAAAGTTTATTTCAAATTTTTTTTTTCTTTATTCTATTCATAGATGAAAATGAAAGATTGTTAGTTATTTTCTATTAAAATTAAGGCCTTCTATCTCACAAGAAGAATATTACCTTGTTTTCAGCTTTATAAAAAAAAAAAATTATTGAGTTAAATCACTTCCAACCTACTAAAACTGTAATGCTTACGAAGAAAGTGTTCCGATTTATTGCTAGTTTTTCACTCAATACTGTGGTCTACCATAGAAATACAAGAAAGACTGATTGTTGAATTTCAACTTCGTACTGAGATAAAACCTTAATCAAGTCAAGCCTTTTTTTGGCTGACGTACACAGTGCCTTCAAAAATCGATCACACTGATATAATTTCGATTTTTTTCTGTATAATAATGACTTGAATAGAGAAAATTGTATCTAATAAAGATTTGAAGAAAATAAAATCTTTGTACTATTCATTAAATCTATGATCTATACCTATAAAACAATGCATTTCTTATGTGAGTTACTATTACAAACAAACAAAAAAAGTCGAAATTTAATCTATACGATGCATTCTTGGAACTACTGTATATGTCATTTTGTGCTACTTGTTAATCGGAAATTTCTCTTTGAATTTTATTTATGAATCTATTTCTTAATACATCAAGTGGAAACTTACAGCTATATAAGAGTAAAAATGCATGACTGCTTTAATGATGTAACTTCGACGGAGTTTGATACAGAACTTTAACTTTTCCGCGGAAAGTTTATTATGAATGTTTTAGTTCTTATCACTATTTCTATCTGCAGATACAACTATAGTATAAAAAAAAAACACGCGTCTGTTTACGTATATCATGTACAACCGTGTATGTACCCAAACTATTTGGATCGTTTTTTTGCCTAAACGAAGAAAAATACTCTCATCTACTGAAGTACTTAGAACAACATTTTTGTCCATTGGTAGAAAATCGAATTAGAGGAAAATATTACTATAGAGTGTCAAAAGAGAGATTTCGCTAAAGTTTTTAAACTATATCTAAAGTCCAATAAGAAAGATAGACCGAAAGAGTTTAATATTTGAGTTACTTTTTAGTTTTTCATTAGATCAAACAGTTCATGGAAAGTTCAAAAGATATGCAAATTCTATTATTAAGTTTATATACAAGAGTAGATTCAATGTTCTGATTTCGGAATTAAAAATAGATTAAACGATCTGAAACTTTCATACTAAACTATTCTTACTAAAAATCTATGTTTGTAAAAGATCTCAAGTTAAAATTCGAAAATTGATTTTCCTAAGAATAAATCACAATATTGTTTTAAGAAAAACAATATCTACATAGTAATAAACTAAAAGCTCGAGATCTTTTTAGCTATAATCACAACTTATTACAGTCTACATAAAGTATATAATCTCGATTTAAAAGCTATAAATCATTTGGGATACATTTCTTTTTAGATTATTGATACTTCTATTGTAATTTATGAAGATAGAGTTTTATTAATGTATTTAATACATGATAATCTTTTTTTGATAGACTTCTACTAATATCGATAATATAATCTGTTATTGATTATTTTATAGAATTGATTTTTAATTATTTTCTTTTTGTTTTTAAATTTAGAATTCATCAATATCAATCGATGATAATTTTGATATATTTTTCGATGATATATGTACTTCGGATAATATTCAATAAATTAAAATATTCAGTTCTATATGTGTCATATTAATAAATTCTTTTCTTTCGTTTGTTTTTGTTCAATTGATGTTCGCATGCAATGTTTCTGTTGTTTTTTTTTTGATTGTAGAAAATAAATTGAATTATTGTTTCATGAATTTTCCTTTTACTTATTTAAATTCTATTCTATATAATCATACTAATATGACTAATAATCTTAAATAAATATCTTTTATTATCATTTAAATAAATAAAACTATCTAGATAAATTACTAATAATATTATGTATTAAATATATTCATTATTTAATATGATCAATTTCTAAATAACTGTTTTAATTATGATTATGTATAATATCTCTTATAGCTTTATATATACATATAATAATGTTAGTAACATTGCCATTTAGCATTTTTTGTTATGTCATAAGAGAAAATAAAAATAATTGTTCTCTAATATATATATATATATGTATACATAAATCTTCTTACATTTACTCTTTAAAAAAAAGACAGAACCGTATTTTCAATTGATAGGTAAATTAAAAGTATTAGAACATTAACAAATGTCAATTTTTTATTTGTATCTAAGACAATACTAATATTAATCCAGCTTGTCTTTTGTGTTTATAAATACGATGTCCTTCTTCGTTTTCTTCTTTTGCAATATCGTATGTACCCAAAAGAAGAAACAGAATAGTCATAATAATAATAACAGAAATTCGCCAACAAGGAAAAACAAGCAATCTATCAAACGACTCAGCTGGAGATAAATCTTCTTCCTTTTTTTTTCTACTCAATAACGTATCTATACTTAATGACGAAAAAAAAATTCTTCATGTCTGGTTACCTTATATGTCTGTTGACCGAAAAGTATTTTCACCATTAATTAGATAGCTATTATAGAATAGACAAAAAAGGAAAAACAGAAAAAAAAAGATGACCATCACATGCTCATCAAAAAGAAAAAAACACAAGCAAAAAGAACAGACTATGTATAGTCAACTATGTCGATAGAAAAAAAAAGCAATGAGACTAATTTTGTTAGAACCGACACGAGAAGCAAAAAAAAAGAATGAGAAAGAAACGATAACACATTTTTTTTTTGCCTTGTCGTCATCGTTCGCACACTGGTTCAATCAACATGAAAAAAAAACACACACACACAGACAAAAAGTCATCGAATGTGTTCGCGCCTGCACTCACTGTGCTAGTATATCTATATATATATATATTGATTATAAACATGTAAGCAGATGGCTATTTTTCATTTCTTTCTTTTTTTTACATATTTCATTTTTAGATAACAAATATAATTTGTTGAACAATTAATATTACTTTATTCATGAATGATTATATACGAAATTAAAAAGGCATTAGTTCCTTTTTTTTTGTTATTATACATATATATGGGAAAGGTCGCATATTGCCAACATTGATGAGGTATGGTCGTCGATCAGTATGCTCGATGTTAACCAGCTGGTAGACTTAGATAAAAAAAAAAAAAAGAAGAAGAAATGAAGAGATAGATGATCTGATGGTTATTGTCTCCCGCCAAGAGGATTCTTTTTCTTTTTTTTTTTCTTTCTAATGTCGGTCAAGATAGAAATGGCATATACATACATATATGAACAGTAATGATGTTCTATAAACATCGATTCTTATTTTGGAAACGATATACATTTATACTTCTATTCCTGTTCAGTTCTTATTATTTTGTTCATCATTTTCTTTTTTTTTTCTTGGTATCTTCTTTTCGTCCTTATCGAGAAACAGAGAGAGAGAGAGAGAGATGGATAGAAAGAAAGCATCATAGTTCTATTGGTGTTGTCCTTTCTCTCTTTAGCCGAAAATACTTCCTGCTTTTGTATATACATATATATATATATATCAATCAGAAAGATATGCGAATGTTCGCGTGCCGTTTTTCTTTCTTTTTTTCCTTCTTCTTCTTTTGCTTCTGATATTGGCCAAATTTGGAGTCGACATTACTCTACTTATCCTGATTCTTCTATGTCTACATACAAGAATAGAGTGTGCATATACATAAAAAAAGAAATCATCAATAGTATATATACACGAGTATTGTATGATTCTTTATTCAGTCGTTTATATCTCATCATTGTGGATACAGATATGTTCAATAGAGTAAGTAAGAAATAATTTATTCTTTTTTTTTCCAAGAAAGTTTCCCATATCGTACTTCTAAGACAGGCCATATTGAATAGATATCTTATGGAATGTAATAGAAGTATGCCGAGGGCTTTCACAATCAACATTATTCTATATATATATTAATGTATATTATTCAAAATTTCTTTGTTTTTATTTTTAATAAAAAAACTAAAATAAATTTCTAGAAATGGAATGTAATATTTATCTTCGAAAAGACAATCAACTTCTTTTCAATCGGTCAATCAATATGTTTATGCCAATTAGAAGCAACGATAGGAAGGCTGTTGTCCAGATGTGTGATATCTGTTCTCCTGCTGATTGACCATTCACATTTCCTTTTTTTTTTTTGTTTTGTGGTAAAAGATAAGCTATAATGACTTGATGTAAAAGCAATGAATGATGAATAGCATTGTATATCAATTGGATTCTGTTTATTATAATGATCTTTAACAAAATACTTGGATATGATTGATATTTGATTGCAATGATCCATAGAAAAGAAAATGTTCAGATGTCATTTCAATTATAAGAAAAAGAAAATATCATTGAATGCTTCTTCTTTTTTTCATATGGAAAATAGATTATCTATAAGAAGAATTTCTCCTAATAAACAAAAATTTCAATTAAAGCAAAAAAAATAATAGTAGAATTCTTCAAAATTAATAACTTCATAGTCTATATTAATAATAGGTAACAGATATTTACAAGAATTATGGAAATTAACTCTAGGAAATATAATTATATTTTTCTACTATAATAAATGATACACTTGATTTCTATGTATAGTAAAGAATGATTTGTTGTTATTATGAAATATTTGCTTGATAATAAGACAATGATTTTTATATTTATGATTAATTTCGGATGTTATCTATTTGTAAAGATAAATTCAAATTATTGATATTTAGTTTTATTTTTTGTATATTCAATGCTGTAATCAACAATCGCAATATGTATCTTTTCTTTCAATAGTTAGTCAATAACGACTTTTATTCGTATGAGAAAAGATTTTGTTCTGTATATGTTGTGCTTATGATTTGTTTTCTTTATAAAAGAGAATAAAATAGCCTATTTTCAATATGATTATAGTGTTGATGGAATGAAGTTTTATATACTAAATATAATATGAAAAATGATTGTTTGATAGCAATCAATTTTCGATCGAAATTCAACAAAGGACAGTTCCAAGGTGAATTTTGTAATATGTTATGCAACTTTTTATTTTCTACAAGATGATATCTTTGAAGAGATACTAGCTTCATATCTCGTTCTGATGTTGTTTTAATAAAGAAATAAACTAATTTTCATGATTTTCATTGTTATAATACAGCAAGATAAATATGATATTCGAAATCAATATGAAAAACTATATTTCATAAAACTAGAATACGATTGAAGAGCTCCCTAGGTTACTATTCCACTGGAAAACAAAGATTATTATAAAAGGTGTTTAATTCAATATAGTTGTTTACGATGATTTCGAATGTCATGTCAACGAAAATAGCTAATAATAGGTTTTTTTTAAATGAATAAAATCTATTATGTAACAGATAGATATGAACCCAGTTTCGCTTCGAAGATATCCTTTTGTAGAGAATAAAAAGTTGCATAATATATATATATATATAATTCACCTTGGTACTGTTCGATGCAAAATTTCGATAGGAGATTGATTGTTATCAGAATCATTTTTCATTCGCATTAGTTTTATTAAACTTAACTCGGTCACCACTGTATTATATTAAAATAAGTCATATTATTCAATATGTAATTCTAATTATTTCAGATATCGATGAATTGAATGCATACAACAACAAAAAAAATCAAGTGCGTCGTATACTCGATGGTCTCATGATTGTTCTCTTATATTTCCAAATGACTTGTTTTGTATCCATATCTTTTTTGTTCCTTCTAGACAAAATTGAAAATTAAGATAAACATATAGGAAGTTCTGTTCTCTCAGAAAAGCTGATTTTTTTTTGATTTCATACTTCATTTTTTCGGTAGAATTTTTGATATTTCTTGCAAATAAAACAGTGTAAATAAGTATTTTAAGGAAAATATAGAAATATTTTTGATAAATTTCATCATGGCTCATAATAATAACTAAAGCTCATCAAACGATAATGAGAAGAGCAAGACAAAGAATAACACTGGAAACAACATGATCTAGTGCGACTGGCACATATCATAACAATGCGCCATTTCTTAAGTTATTTTTCTTCTTTCTCTCTGATAACTATCTATAGACCATAATTACTGTTTCTAGTTTTCATTATCGTGTAAAATACTTGTAATGAATACAATGTTTTATAGAAAATTGGCTTGAGACAGTCTACAATGCATTCTAGTAAAATATTTTCAAGTAAGTTCATTATGTTCAAACTAAGTATTGTATGAAATACAACAAGTGACATAAGAAGTTTATTTATAAAAAAATTCAAAAATAAATATAGACTATTATTTTCAAACTTATCAAAAAGTACTTTAAAGTGTTTATTTAAAAAAAAGTATTTCAAGCTTTTCATCTGTTGATGCCTTTTTTTTGGTCGCGCGATACAAAATTCCCTGTGGATTTTAATTCTATGTATATATATATATACGCACTTCTCTTTGTTTAGAAGAGCATGCTAGACTTTTATTTTAAGAGAAACTTTTTAGATCTTCAATATGTCACTCATATAAAAAGTAAGAATACAAAACAAAAGTGTCTGTCATGCCTTACATTTTGACATGTTCTTTCACATAAAAGAAAAATTTATATAGAATCAAGGTCAACAGAAAATTCAAGTTGCTTAATGAGCTATTTATTTGACTCTTCTTTGATGAATATCTTTCTTTTTG